GTTCAATTTTTCTCATTGGCAGTCGTTTTGGGGTAATCCCACGAGGCGAGAATGGCAGGGTATGAAGGCTGTAATATGTCCACTACATCACCTCAAAGTGATCAGGTTTTTCGGATATTTTTGAAGTATCGGTGAACTTGAACTCGTTAGGTATTTTTTGGAAAATGCTATTGTGCTTGAGAAAATCATTGTTGATCCTCATAATCAATATGACCTTGTCCTGTCGGAATCAGAAGAAATTGAGGAGCAAATGACAAGAAATTTTGCTAAACTCCGACTTGAAGGTGAAGTACCTTCGCATATTGAGTTAGTGATACTGTTAAAGTTTATTTATGGAAATAATAATATGTTAATTTTCAGTTATTTGGACCCGTATATTTAAGCTTTATGCTAGAGGGGAAATGGGGTTTAATATAATGATTGTATTCCTGAGGAAGCTTTATGTATGATCTAATTTATATTTCGAAATTTGCTTATTTTGACCTTATGTAATGTTTGTGTCAAGTCTAGTAACAAGATTTATGGTGCTGGCAAGTCTACATACAATTTAAATGGAGTATTTATTATGGTTTACTTACACTGTTTTTACCTTTCTACGGTACAGTAAAAACTCATACTTCAGGTTGCCCCTCCATTTTGGCCTCTCATAATGACCTGAGACTTCTACCCATGTAATTAGTTGATGAACTAGCAAGTGATTAGCAATTTTTGATTCTAATAAGTGTTTTAAAAGGCGCCGGAGTAAGGCGAGCCGTTTTATATATGGCCCAGCGAGGCGTAAGCCTCATGAGTATTTAATTTTTAATATTTTATAAAATAATATAATTACAATAAATATTTATAAATAGGAATTGTATAAAAATTGAAGAATACTATAGATATGTGGAAAATATATATATAGATGCGCTCCATCTCCACAAAAGCTAGTCAAAACAATCTATTATATGCTACTTACAAGCACAAGTGACTTCAGTAGAAAAGAATAAAGTTTTCTACGTGGAGGAACAAAAAGGATGACTAACTTGCAATTTGAACTTTGAACTTGTTGTTACTAAAGAGAATGAAGTTCTCTTTGTATCTGTAAAAAAATTGAATATTCGTTTCTTTGGGAGATATTAGTAGACTAGTGGACAAGATAAAGAATTAGGAAGACCACAAATTAGGGCTTCAATCAATAAAAAAGGTCTTGACTTTTATATTTAATACATTTCAATTCATTTTTAAACTTTTGAGTAATTACAAGCTGACCTTTGAGAATTTGGGTATTATATGAAGGACTTATTCAACAAATTTTATTTTGAGTTGAAAAAGTCTCAAGGTCTTAAGCTCCACTAAAAAAATACGCATCAAACGCCCGGGTCATCACTCGTTTTGAAAGTAAATTTTGAGTTCCGAGGCCTTAAATTTTTTTTCTCACCTCGATTTACGTGCGCAGTCCGGGCACGTTTCCGGAAAGCTTTTATGTGAAAACTAAGTAAAATAAAAAAATTAACTTTTAAAATTTAATAAAGTTGACTTTGGTCAACATTCTTAGTAAACGGACTCGGACCGGTGATCTAACGGTCTCGTAGGGTCCGTAGTAAAATATGGGACTTGGACGTATGCCCGGAATCAAATTCCGAGGTCCCAAGCCCGAGAAATAAATTTTTAAAGAAAATTATTTTCTGAAAAAATATAAAGGCTTTTAAAAGTGAATTGATGTAATTTCTTGATGTTATCGGGCCCGTATCTTGGTTCCGGATCCCGGTACAAGTTTGAAATAATAATTAAGTTGAATTTGTGAAGTTTGGTAAGAATCAGAGTTCGTTTAGTATAAATCGGACCTTCATTTGAGAAAAATGAAAAGTTTGATGTTTTTGAGTGATTTCATGAAATCGAGGCTTAATTCATAGTTATTGATGTTATTTTGATGATTTGATCGAACGAGCAAGTCCGTATGACGTTTTTGGACTTGCGTGCATGTTTGGTTTAGAGCTCAGAGGGCTCAGGTGAGATTTGGATAGGTCGCGGAGTGAAATTGGACTTAGGAAAAAACTGATGTTGTGTTGCAGGTCTGCAGGCTTCGCAATTGCAAAGCCTGGCTCGCAAATGCGAGCACGCATTTGCGTAGAAACATCGCAATTGCGATGATAGGCTGGAGCAGGGAGACATTCGCATTTGCGAGGCTTAATGTCGCAAATGCGACCTTAGCAAGCACCGCAATTGCGAACAATTGTTCGCATTTGCGAAGAAAGCAGGGGCAGGCCTTCCTTCGCAATTGCAAAGCCTTGGCCGCAATTGCGAGTTCGCATTTGCAAACATGTCATCGCAAATGCGTTATTTGCGCATGTGTAAATCATAACTTAGCCGAAATTACTTCATTTTTCAAATTCTCTCAAACCCTAAGCTCTCTTGGGCGATTTTCGAAAAGTTTTTCTCCAAATCAATTGTAAGTCATTTCTAACTCACTTTCTTCAATCTATAACATCTTTTTACATGATTTCAATTTAAAATTAAGGGGTTTTTCATGGGAAATTGAGTGATTTTGGGTAGAACTTAGGATTTTCAAATTTTGGGGATTTGAACCTCGATTTGAGGTCCAATTTCAAAACAAATTATATAATTGAGTTTATGGGTGAATGGGTAATCGGGTTTTGGTTCGAACCTCGGGTTTTGGTTCGAACCTCGGGTTTTGGTTCGAACCTCGGGTTTTGATCATGTGGACCCGGGGTCGATTTTTGCCTTTTTGGGGAAATCTTTAGAAAACCTATTTTCATGCATTAGAATTGATTTATTTAGCATTTATTGATATCGTCAAGTAAATTGTGGCTAGATACAAGCGAATTGGTGGTGGAATCAAAAGATAAAGCAGTAGTTGAGGCTTAAATTGTGTTCGTGGCATTGAGGTAAGTGTTTGATCTAACCTTAACTTGAGGGATTAGGAGTTGTATCTTATTTTCTATGTGTTAATTGTTGAGTACGACGTACAGGTGTGGTGACGAGTATCTATACATCGGTGTCAAGCATGCCCGTGAGTTTTATAGTATGATTGAGCGACTCTGTTTCGTATTGTTCATGCTTTATATGATGATTTCTATTGTTGAATAAGGTTTGTGGAAGTATTATTGGTAATTGAACATTGTAGAGCGTTGGCTCAAGTTGAGAATTGAGTTGTGAAGTAATTGTGGAAAAGAGAAGAGGTTTATGATATTGTCTCCCTTATCGGGATGTTATTACTCATGATATTGTTTCCCTTGCCTGGATATTGTTGTTATGTTATTGTTCCCTTGCCGGAATTCTATTGTGATATTATTGATTCCCTTGCCCAAATTGCTTTGTGATTGTTGCTTGGGTGAGGAAGAGTGTAAAGCACGAAGGGTGATGCCGTGCGTGATTTTGAGAGTGTTAATGCACGAAGGATGATACCGTGCCGATATTGTGAGGTAAAAGCACGAAGGGTGATACCGTGCCGCACAATGTACAATGTCGCGCCATGATATGAGTGATGATGCACGAAGGATAATTCCGTGCCATGATTATGTGAGGTAAAAGTACGAAGGGTGATGCCGTACCGATTCTATTGATTTTTATGGTGAGGATGAGAGTAAAAGCACGATGGGTGATGCCGTGCACGTGTTATTGAGTTCCTGATTTTTTATGATAATTGAACTATGGTGTTCTTTACATTTCTCTATTGGTTTTCTGTTGTTACCTGATATTCCCCGCAACATGTTTCCCCCCTCCCATCTTTAACTGTAAATTTCTACTTTTATTTTTCCGTTGTATATGATTTAACTGCACAGGTTTATTTGGTAGTCTTGTCCTAGCCTCGTCACTACTTCGCCTAGGTTAGGCTAGGCACTTACTAGCACATGTGGTCGGTTATGCTGATACTACACTCTGTATTGTGTGCAGATCCCGGTGCTGCAGCTTTTGGACCACAGTGAGGTTGCTACCTTCCATCCAGTGGCGAAGACCCGAGGTAGTCCTGCAGGCGTCCGCAGGCCTTGGCGTCTCCTTCTATCTTTCCATTCTGTTTCTTTTATGTATTTTAGAAACAACTTTGTATTTATCTTTCAGACCACTGTTTGTAGGATTCGTAGATAGTCCGTGACATTGTGATACCAGATTCTGGGTAGAGTTGTATGTTGGATTTTGTACTAGTATATGGTTAAACTATTAGTTTTCGTCTTCCGCATTTCTGTTTATTATAATATTTCCGTTGTTGATCACCTGTTATACTGAACTGTTAAAAAGGCTAAGTAAAAAGGTTAATGAATCTATAATACTCGGTTTGCCTAGCTTTTATGAGTGGACACCATCATGACTCCCGGGGGTGGGAAATCCCGATTGTGACACATATGTCTCTTGAGACTTTCGCCCCACACCATCGCCTCGAGATATTTTTAATGCATCTCGCCCCAAAAACGCCTTTTAAAACACTATTCTAATTAAGCAAAACTTTTGTATATAGAGATTTGAGAAAGGTCTTTTGTAAAGCCTGATGTAGTGTTGAAGTTGTTCCAAATCCAATGTAGTAGTTACGGAAAAGCTCAACTTTTCTTGTTCCAAAAGCAAACAGCACTTCCTATTTGCCTATTTATTATATTCACCATGTAAAAGCTTATTTCATATTTATATCAAACCATATTAATTTACTAGGATTAAATTATAAATAAGGTGAAAACGTATTAGTTAATTACTGTATGATTAAATGATATGTGAAGACATGTATCATAGAAAAGGATAAATGTGGTGCTTTATCTCTAAATGAATTCCCTAAATTGCGCTTCTTTCTTAAATTAATTAGTACTTAATAATTAAAAGCTTGACGCCAGGGTCCCGAACAAAAGAGCAGAAATGCTATAATAACAAGTTAAAGGGGCATACCAACTTTCTTGCTGCATGAAAATTCACAAAAGTGCAACATAAAATAATAAAAAGTAATTACCGAATGCTTGGGAAAGAAAAAATAGTGCTATTAACTACTCTTATATGATCTTACTCATGACAAGTCAAGATACGTCCAAACAATCTATCTCTTTTCTAATTAATAATGACTTGAATATATATACAAATACATCGCGGAATTCATCTATTAAACATGAAATAACCAAATTGATCTTCGTCAAAAACAAGCAAAACATAATATAAAGACACAGTTAATTACTGGTGACTAGCACCAAGCTGGATCCATTGCATAGCTTTCTTTGCTTTTGATCCTCAATCCGTTCCCTTTCTAAGTGAATCTTTGCGTCTAAAAATGCCCTCTTAACTTCCTCATCCCCTGGTTTTTCTTGTAACAACATTTCAAAATCTTGAATTACAGCCTCCCATCTTTCCAACTATATATGCGACAGAATCAAAAGGCGAGGGAAAAAATCATTAGGTCAACGTATGATCAATGCAATAATAATAGAAATAAAGAAAAAAAAAGGGATGTGTAAAAAGAGTAATTTTACCTTCATGTAGCAATCAGCTCTTTTAACTCTAGCCTTTAAATAAGAAGGACGTAATACAAGAGCTGCAGTGCAATCCTCCACTGCTTTCTCAAATTGTCCTAACTTGAATCGACAAGCTGCTCTGTTAAATAACAAAACAGAATTGTACGGCTCCTTTTCTAATCCTTCAGTGTAAATAGAACAAGCGTCTGTGTATTTTGATTCCTTAAAAAGGTCATTACCCTTTAACCGAGCTGATGCCAACCCTTTAATTATTCTTAAAATTTTGATTATTTCATTGCTCAAATCAAGTTTTGCAGCCTCTTGAGCTGCAGCAATTCCATCGTCGAACCTGCCTACTGTCACGTAGACTTGTGCTCGAATTATTAACAAATAAGCTGTTTTAATTGAGCCGAAAAGGAAAGTACAAAGCTCCGTTTCAAAATTAGGTCCCTTCTGAATAGTGATGTATGCCTCCTCATGTCTACGCAACTTCATCAATGCCTCAGCTCTCATTGCAGAGATCTTTGAGTATAAAAAAAATAAAAGAAGGTAAAAAAAGCAAGTAAGCATCTCTAAACATGTAATGTTCCCAATTAAATTTGATGATTAAGACATGGACTAAGTTGTTTCAACCTGTGGAGCTGAATCTGCACCAAAAGACATTGCATTTTGACTCTCCTTAAGTAATGTGCTGTAATCCCTTAGCCTATGAGCTTCTACGCAGTTGCAGATACTTCCTGTAATATCTTGAGCCTCAGCAATGTCTCTTTTGTCAACTTTTCCTCCAGATTGTTTGTAATGTTCTATTGCTTTGTCTGCTTCTCCCAATCTGTTGAGGCGAATACTTTTTAAAGTATATCAATCAAAGTAAAGAAGACAATCTAATTAAATCTGATTGATCACGTTTTAGTACCTGAGATATAGTCTTGCAAGACGAGATTGAGCGTTGTGATAATAAGGGTCTAGCCGGATGGCCTCTCTGCATTCGATCACTGCCTCCATAAGACGGCCTAAACTCATCAAAGCTGCACTTTTGTTGCTATAATAACAAGCATTTCTTGGATTGATGGAAATTGCTTGATCATACAAAGCCATTGCTTCCTCAAATCTTCCATGCCTGTAATGCTCATTTCCCATAGACTTTAGCACATCGGGGTCCAATTTGTTTAACATATGGCTCCTTATACTAGGTTGTCTTACTATGTTCCCCATCAAGACTCTGCCTATAGTCTTTTGATCACTTGAGCCATTTTGGTTCTTTTGTTGCTTCAAATTTCCTAATTGGCCTAATAACATAATGTTTCCCGTGGAGGAAACACCGTTTAATATTCCATTCGCGTTGGATTTCCGGTGACTAATGACAGAGGAGGTGAAAGTTGGTTCCATTCTAAGCTTTTGACTGTTGGCGAAGTTGACAACTTGTGACATTTTGTTCGTGCTCGAAAAATTGGACGATTGCTTCGTGCTGATTCTCGTACCATCGGATGTTGATCTCCTAACATGTTTTTGATCATGGGAAATCGAATTCCTCAGAGTGGTTGAGTGTGGTTGAGTGGAATGTTTCACACCTAGTTTTGTTGGAGTTTTGACTGATTTCTTGGTGTCTAAATATGCAATGCTTGGCCTTATTGGTGTTAGATCATTGGCACTGGACTTAGTGGGAAGTGGTGGCACTGGTTGTTTACTTGACTTAGATTTTCCAAGTTGAAAAATTGCTGCCACTAGACCACAACCCAATTGAATTTCCACTGACCTCTCTGCAATTTCAGCCATAGCTCCTCTTTCACCACCCATATCTGTCACAATTTGCTAACTGTTGCTATTTTAGAGGAAATGGAAGGCTTTATCCAATGTTAAGTATTCATGAATCATAGCGAAAAGGTCAATGGAAAAGAGAGATTAATTTTTAAACACAATCCAATAGACACATGGTCCAAGAAAGGGGAAAGAAATCAAAGATAAAGCTTGAATATGAAGGGTTCAATGTGATAGCCCCTGATTTAGATAGAACAAATGTTTTAATTACTTATATATATACCCTTTAGATGGTCCTAGAGTGGACGTCAAGAAACCAACTTTATTTTCTTTTGCCGCTAGAGCTTTTGGCCTATCAAACAAAATTCCAAAAGGGGACAAGACTCGTCGCTCTAATAAAGTACCAACGAAACAAGAAAGTGATATTTGGAACGATTTCTTTAAAAAAAATTGCTATAGTGCCAAACAAGTAGGACCTTCCACCCAATCATAACAAACTTTTTATTCCAGCAGCAGGGGCAGTTCGACATTATATCGTGTCTAAGGCAAAAATAAAAAATGAGGTCTTAAATTTTTTTAATTTTTTTTTAACTTTTTAACTCATATTTTCTTATTGACATATTTATATTCTAAAAAATAATAATATGTATGGAGTAAAATTAATAAAATAATAAATAACAAATAAAAATAATACTAAAAAGTTAGAATGATATTACGACTGACTGATTCAAGAAGTTTGAAGACTTTGATTCCAAAATATCCAGTTGCTGGCTTGTTGGAGTCTTGGAGAAAGAAAGAAATCTAGTAGAAAGAAGATGAGCATGGCTTAAGAGGAAGGAAGAAGGGTATGTCTCATATATGGAACATGAAGAGTGAAATGAAATTGAAATGTTGGAATTACTTGGGAAGAAGAGTAAAAAATAGAATTGTCAAATCAAATCAAATTGAAAACTATTTTTCTATTATTTTAAGCTTTACTTTATTAATATATTCAAAAAAAATTCTTTCACTTGCCTTACCCCCAAACACTATTAGGAGCAGGCCCTGTCCAGCAGGATTAGCTTAAACATTCACACGTGCAAACATGTTTCGTTCGCCAAACCTTCTCAAAAATCTAACACGCAAGTTGAGAGATTAAACTAGCGTTTGGTCATAGATTTTTTAATTTGTTTTGAAAAATTTAATTTGGGTGAAGTTTGGTTTGAAGATAAAAATGTGTTTGGACATCAATTTTTAAAACATATTTCACTTTTTTTTTTTTTTTTTTTTTTTTTTGAAAAAACATGAACATGTCTTATACCCACAAGTTCTAAAAATTATCACAAATACCCAATAGTACCTTCAACAATAACATTCATTATATTATCACAAATTATAGTCTTGAACATAAATAAATTTGGTACAAAATTATTATTTTTATAATCAACTACATAATACACTAGCAGATGACTGAGAAGACGAAACAACATTGTTATAAAATAATAAATGGTGGGCTCTTTTATAAAACTAGTATTAGTACCCCCGCGATGCGCGGACAAATCATTTCAAATTGCGATATATGTTGTTTGAATCATGTACAAATAACCTTAAAATATATATCTCTTAGCTAAAAATTATATAACATGAGAATTTAATTATGAAGCAGGATATGAAATTATTGATCAGATCTCGTAGTAGACAACCAATCTTTTTAACATATGTTTGTAACAACCTAACCCCTTGATTTTAGTATTTGCATTTCGTTCCGTTGTTGATATTAAAGAATACTAAACATGTCATATTGTGATCTATCTTGTTCGAGCACATTAGATCATATTATTTTAACAAAATTCTTACAATCACTTTATTTTTATCAGGAAGTCAAATATGTCTTATTCATCACATCATTTTTTACGTAAATTCTTTTTTTTTTGTTCTTTTCTTATAGTTATTGTATTATTTAATATTTCATATTATTATACCATCATATAGTTTTTTTGTTATCTTATAATTAAATTAATGTCTTGCTTATTATCTTTTTAATAGTATGTGATAAAAATAAATATTTTATTCTGGAAATTTGATATATTTTTATGCTTTTATCCTCTTATTCATAATATTTTAATCATTTAAATTTGTCAGTAATATTTTTAAATATAATTAATTATTTTATTTATCTATATTAAAATTAATTTAAAGTATAAGTATCCTCACACTACCTCTATTTTCTTTTTAATATGCATTCTCTTTCCTACTATAAATGTTAATTAGTTTTATATTAATATTTTATCTATAACCAAAATAATGTCATATTTTGTTTTAAATTATAACTTTTAATTAGTTTAAATATTAATACATAAGTTATTTGATTATCATGTTTCAAATGTATTGAGTTCTCTTATAATTAATTTTGTATTAGATGTAGTTAAATTTTCTTTCTTTTTTAGCTATAAGATAAATTTTAATTTTAATTTTAATTTTTATTATTAAGATTACCAATATTAGAAATTTATTTTCTACTTTTAAAAATTTATTTAATCATAGAAAAAAAATTCTTAATTTTATGAACACATTATTTTTAAATATTTTAATAATATTTTTACTATCATTTTAATTTTTTACGTAATATTCATTTTTTTAAAAAAAAAAATTCAACTCAAACTCAAATAATTCTTATCATTTTGTTTTCTAAACTAGACCATATTTTAAAAAAATTATGCTATGCATTCAAACTCAAACTAACTACACTCGATTCAGGTATTAATCATAAGTCTAAAATATTATTACATAAGTTATTTGATTATCATGTTCCAAATGTATTGAGTTCTCTTATAATTAATTTTGTGTTAGATGCAGTTAAATTTTTGTTCTTTTTTAGCTATAAGATAAAATTTAATTTTTATTTTTCATTATTAAGATTACCAATATTAGAAGTTTATTTTGTACTTTTAAAAATTTATTTAATCATAGAAAAAAATTCTTAATTTTTTGATCACATTATTTATAAATATTGTAATAATATTTTTACTGTCATTTTAATTCATTATGTAATATTTTCAAAAAAAAAAAATCTCATCTCAAACTCAAATAATTTTATCATTTTATTTTCTAAACTGGACCGCATTTTCAAATAATTATGCTACGCATTCAAACTCAAACTAACTGCACTCGATTCAGATATTAATCACAAAAAAGTATTTTCTTAATTGTTTGAACATATTATATCTAAATGTTGCAGTAGTATTTTCACTGTCATTTTACTTCTTTACATAATTTATTTTTCTTGTCTAGTTTTAAGATACAAATTTAATCTTTGTAAAATTACCTATATTAGAAATTTATTTTATAATTTAAAATTTTATTTTTTATTATTATTATTTTATTTTTCATAAATAAGACTTCAATTTCGTGGTATTATTCATAATTTGAGCATTCACATCGTAGTTTTAAGAATTTCTAATCTTAAATTCAAATAGTCTTTTCTTTTCATTTCTAATAAGTTAACATAATTTTTCTATTTTTTAAATCTAATATATAGTCTTATTACGTTTTATGTGGCTTTTCATTAACTCGTAACTTTATTTAATATCATTCTCAACTACTTTTCTTTAATAATATAAGATAAATATATAATTTTTTAATTATAAATAATATTTATTTTGTTTCAAAAATATTGATCGAAAATATTAAATTATTTAAAATTTATTAATATTTTAAAGTATTGTATATTTACTTTATTTTATTTTCTAAACTTATGATTTATAAATGTCCTTACATTATCTCTAATTTATTTTTATTGTTCAATATTTTTAATTTTTTATTTTACTATTAGACTTGAGTTATGTGGACTTATATTATGACTTTTCTTATCATAATATAAACAACTTTCTCATCTCAAATTTAAATAAGTTTTACACTTTTTCCTATGATAAAAAATCTTAGTTTTTTTAAATTTATTCTTTATTATTGATTTTATATTATTCAATACCTAATATTATTACATTGTCATGTGAATTTTTATTAGACTGTTGAATTTAATAGCTATTTTTACCATACTCATTCTAATATAATACAGATAAAAATTAAAATACTTTCTGNTTCTAATATAATATAGATAAAAATTAAAATACTTTCTCATCTCAAATTCAAATAATTTTTATCATTCTATTTTCTTAATTGGACCATATTTTCAAAAAATTATGGTACGCTTTCAAACTTAAACTAACTAAACTCAACTCAAATAGTAATCATAGAAAAATATTTTCTTAATTGTTTGAACACATTATATCTAAATGTTGTAGTAATATTACGTATAACATATTCGTTTGCACGATTTATCAATATTAATATGAATTTATTTTTCTTGTTATTAAAATATCTTTTGATGATTATTTAATTTTTCTCTTACCTTATAATTAATTCTTATACATTATGTAAGATCTTATTTTGCTGCTTGAATTTATTTAGTTTTTAAACTCAATAAATATTTAATATCTTAAGTAATTTTTAGTTTTATTTTATATTTTAACTTACTCCAAAGTATAAATAGTCATAGGTTATCTCAATTTACGTCTTTATATATATATATTTTCTTTCTATTATAGTTTTTAATTATTTTTTCACCTCCATATTTCTAGCTAACATAGAAGAAAATCTATGAGTGGATCAATATATAGATATAAATAAAGATATAGATATAGATATTGATACAAATATACATATAAATTTAACTATAGATATATAAATTAGATTTGTCTAGATCTATTTAGATTATGTATAAGATTCATTAAACTACCTCCATTAATTATGTTTCTATATATAATTTCTAATTATTAATGTTGTCCTAAAATTACCAAGTGACTTCATTTTAGCTTGCCACTTGGCTTAACCACAATGCATACTACTTTCCTTTTAATATAATATAGTTATAGATACAAAAAATTGAGGCAATTTTTAAAAAATATAATAGTAATATTTTGGCCAAAACCAACACTGAGTTAGTTTTGGGATTTGTGTTTAGGGTTTTGAAAATATGCCAAAATATAAATAAAATTTATGAATAAATATGTATTTGCCAAAAAACCTAATATAAACGGGTCCTAAGAATCCTAATGTAAACTGAAAAGAAAAATATATATAACTAGAGGAGAGTTGAATTTGTTGCTCAACGTCCCAAGAAATGAACCCATTACTCAGCTAATACATTTCAGTATTTAAAATCACATTTAGTATGACGTAAGTTTTATTATCATAA